ACCTTTGAATTCCTCCCTTTGTCTCCTAATCAGGAGAGGGAGAGGATGTGAAATGGCCCTCACCTGAGTTTTCTTTCCCCAGGGGAAGTATTTTCTTTGGCCTGTCTTCTCCCCGCAAATATTAGGGGGCAGCTCTACTAACACAAACACAGGGCAGCCTTGGAATCTGCCCCTCTACCACAGGGGCAATATAATAAATAATAATAAAAGCCTAGTAAATTAACCGTCTTAATCTGTTTATGCTAAATTGCTATAAACGGGGCGAGATCCTTAAAACAATTTTTAATCTGATTTAAAGTTATAAACGGGTGCAACTTTGAATATAGAGAAGTCCTGAGATCTGTTGTCATTTCTTCTCTGGGGGCTGGATGGAATGAAGGAGTGGGGGCCAAGTCTGTACTCTGCACAGTGCAATTCAAGAAAACCACTTTGGCAAATCAAGGCCTGGAAAGAGACAAAGGATCACAAGCTTTTTCTAAAATGTTCCATTTTCTACTATATTTTCATGAGGCTTGATAACCTAATCACCACCACTTGGGAATGAAGTCATTGTGCCCCCTGATTCCAGAGTCCTAGTACCAGTCTTGTCCTAACACACGGGGAGCCATTTAGCTCCCCAAAGACAGCTGCAATCGGAGAGGACTTTAAATCCAGCTCCCCAGGCCACGGAGCTGGTGAAAGAAACAAAGAGAATCAGTTAGAAAAAAATATTTCAGGACCATTCAGGTTAATGATTTTTAACATGAAAGACCTAATTTTTTTTAAAACCTCATTTTAAAAGATCACATTTCAAAAATATTCTGGGCAAAGGCAGGTTTCTTATGTTCTCCACAACTTGGTTGCACCATCAGTGATAAAATTGCTCTCCATCTGCACCCACATTGTAAAGTCTTAGATGATGAATGCAACAACCTGTGGAGTGATAGCTTAAGCCAGTGGTTCTCAAACTTTTGTACTGGTGACCCCTTTCACATAGCAAGCCTCTGAATGTGACCCCCCTTATAAATTAAAAACACTTTTTTGTATATTTAATACCATTATAAATGCTGGAAGCAAAGCGGGGTTTAGGGTGGAGACTGACAGCTCGCGACCCCCCATGTAATAACCTTGTGACCCCCTGAGGGGTCCTGACCCCCAGTTTGAGAACCCCTGGCTTATGCCATGGGAGACAGTGTGGTCTAGCGGTTACTTCACAGAACTGGGAGTCACCATAGCTAGTTTCTAATCCCCGCTCTGCCATTGATTGGCTGTGTGGCCTTCCTTGGACAAGTCACTAGGGCAGGGGCAGGCAAACTTTTCAGCCTGAGGGCCATTCGGGTTTCGGAAATTGTATGGAGGGTGGGTTAGGGGAGGCTGTGCCTCCACAAACAGCCAGGTATGGCCCAGCCCCTGCCCCCTATCCGCCCCCCCGCCACGCTTCTCACCCCCTGACGGCCCCTCCCTGGGACTCCTGCCCCATCCAACCCCCCCCTTGTTCCCTGATTGCCCCATCCAACCACCCCTTCTCCCTGTCCCCTGACCACCTCCAGAACCCCTGCCCCTGACTGCACCCCGCTGCCCTGTCCAACCCCCCCTCCTTCCTGACTGCTCCCCGGGATCCCTGCCCCATCCAACCACCCCTTCTCCCCGTCCCAACTGCCCCCCGCCACCCCATTCAACCCCCCCCTTCCTGACTGCCCCCATTCAACCCCTGTTCCCCACCCTCTGACCGCCCCAACCCCATCCATACCCCCACCCCCTAACCACCACCCTAAACTCCCCTGCCCTCTATCCAACCCCGCCTACTCCCTGTCCCCTTACCGCGCTGCCTGGAGCACCAGCGGCTGGCGGCGCTACAGCCATGCCACAGGCCGGGCTCTGCTGCTGCGCTGTCCTAGGAGCTCGCAGCCCTGCCGCCCAGGGCTCGCAGTGAACTGAGGCTGCTGGGGAGGGGTAACAGCAGGGGAGGGGCCGGGGACTAGCCTCCCGGGCCAGGAGCTCAGGGGCCGGGCAGGAGGGGCTTGCGGGCCATAGTTTGCCCACCTCTGCACTGTGGCCTGGTTTTCGGATGTGCTCACTACCTGCAGCTCCCACTGGAGTCATGGGTATGCTGGCCTGTACCTCTGAACATCAGGCCTGAAAGCTCCCCACTTGCTTGGGAACAATATGACTTTGCCTGTCTTTGTACAGTGCTTTTTGGTCTATGGCTGAAAAGCACAGTCAGTGCCAAGCATGTGTAAGCAGAGTCAGGATGAGCTCTACCCTGACATCTGGTGGTGAAGTATGGCGAATGTGGGAAAGAACTCCGGGGGCTGATCTTGTTTGCATAGGCACACCCACCCGCCTGGCATGAAACAACAGCAACTGAAAGTGGTTACTTTGGCTGGTGTGGGATCCCCAGTTTCTCTGTTATTGGGGCAGGAAGAATAAAGTTTTGTTACCCTGATTCTGTGAATCAAGGCCAGTGGAACTGTTGTATGACAGAAGGACTCACCATTACCTAAGTAGCACTTGCTTGACAAGGGGCATGGGTTACAAAACCTACTGAAGTGAGAGAGGATGGGAACAGGTATTCCTGTGTGATTGTATGGGCCCCCTTTAAGAGCCTTGCACCACCTTGTCTTTCTCCACTGTTGAATGTCAGAGCTAACTTTGATTCTATTAGGAGTCTAGTTACAGGCTGCTGAGCTGAATTCACTTTGGGTCAATGGTGTACCAGCACTGGGGCTCCCCTACTAAAAGCTGAAATCATGACAGAGCTAAAGTTACTGAGAGCTAAGATCACTGAGTGCTGTGCTAACTAGTGTGGGACCCTGAAGCTATATTGCTAAGCAGTTGGCAGAGCAGTTTGCGGAGACGGCTGGAGGAGCAGCGAGGGGCGCGGAGCCTTGCGGGGACAACTGGAGTGGCTCACAGGTTGGTGAGCAGAGCGGAACAGCTCGCAGAGCAGTTTGTGGGACGGCAGGAAGTGGACTGGCTTGTGGTGAAGGCTGCGGCGGAACCCCACAGAGAGACGGTAGGTTGGCCTCGGATCACGTAAGGTGCCCCTTAACACCCTGTGTGCCCCCCCTTTTACTCTGGGGCTGCACTGACCAGGGACAGAGACTTTGGGGGTTGTTGGACTTTTGGGACTTTCGGTGGTTGCTGGACCCAAGAGACTTTGGGGGTGTTGAACTTTGGGGACTCTGGATGATCTTTGGGTTGCTGGATTCAAGAACCAAAGGGAAAGGACACAGCCCAATTTGCTGGGGTGGGTCTTTTGCTCATGGTTTGTGTTAGGAATCCTGTTTGTGGTGTTTTTCCAATTTAATACTGATGTCGTTTACCTCATGTTATTAAACATTTTCTGCTACACTCCAACTCCGTGCTTGCGAGAGGGGAAGTATTGCCTCTTAGAGGCGCCCGGGGGTGGTATGTAATTGTCCCAGGTCACTGGGTGGGGGCTCGAGCCGGTTTTGCATTGCGTTATTGAAACGGAACCCCTAGAGACAGAACCCGGCCCTTGTTGCTACCAACTTAGATGGGCAGAAGGGTTACACATGATAAATCATGAAAAGTCCCTCTCCCCTTTACAGCAGAGGCTGGCTCCAGAGGCCTCTCTGAAGGAGGATTTCACACTGACATGATGGTGATTATTTGTAAACGTCCCCCTGAGAGGGCAAAGACGCCTCCAACGCTTCCTGAAAGCAGCACAAAATTGCGGGAGTCTCCCTGCGGATGAGGGAGAGTCTGCCTGTGCAGCGTTCACATTGCAAACAGCCCCCGTTAGCCCCTCGCTGGAAATGGGGGACTGTGGGCCACGTGGTGCCGGAACTACATTTCCCATGACCCTCCTGCAGAGCATGGGGGAGTGGAAAGGTCATTGCCTGCAGGGAACGTGGAAAGCAGGGCGCCCGTGACTCCCCACCTTGGCCCTTCCCGGGAGTGGTCCGTTCGAGTCGGGGCCGGTCTCCGGCTGGGCTGCTGTAGAGGTAGGCGCCGCGTTGCAGGGCTAACTCACCTGTCGGGGAGGTTGGTTTGCCTGGCACGGGGTCACTTGGCAATGCAGGATTCGCGCTCTCCGATCCCGCCAGGGAGAGAAATAGGGCAGGCTTGAAACCCTCGCTCTCTCCAGTGGGCCTCCCTGGAGTTCGGTCCAAGGCTGCATGAGACCGGGAACAATCGCTCCTCGGGACGTGCAGTGATAGCAGTAGTGAGCTAACAGCCTCCAGGTTTAAAGGGGAGGGTGGGGTGCGGCGGAGAGGGTATTCTTAGCGAGCGATCTTCCTTTGCAAGGATCCCCTTCTTGGCTGGAAAAAGTCAGGGGGTTGGGAGGTCTAGAGGCCTTCTCTTTCACAGTAGGTGGCCGAGGGAATTGATATTTCTGCTGGGGTGGGAAAGGCTTTCTTGACTTTAGTACATTGGATGTGCATGTTTGTGCTGAATAACACACAGTTCTGTGGCACTCTCTGATCTGTGGTTGCTAAGCATTTTACAATGCAGTGTAAGACTCAGTATCCCTGTCTTACAGATGGGGAAACTGAGACCCAAAGTCATACAGCAAGTCAATGGCAGAGCTAGGCACAGAACCTAGATTTCCTCACTTCGTTGCTCTATCCTGTGAACCACGCGGCACCTCCAGAACACTGGATAGATGCATTTTATACAATGAAATTAATATATTAAAGTTCTAACCCCTTCCATCCCAGAGGATCCTAAAGACCTTTATAGACTGAGACAAATTATTCTGGTACTGGGCTGGCTAAGGACACCCTGGCAAATGCTTCTATTTACAGAAAGTGCCTTGGCAACTTAAAGTGGCAGACAGCTGCCTCTTAAAAATACAATATAAAAGCCTCATGGAGGCACTGCAATGCCACTCTTGGTGACAAAACTCTGCAGTGAAGACAAGGCCCACGACTGTAAAGGCAGACAAATGCATGGAATAGTTACTTGCCCTAGACCTGTTAGGAAAGTTCTCTCTTAAGCTAATCAGAAGTGTTTCTAATTAATCCACAGAACGACAGCAGATCCTTTCACGCACTTTATTAAAATAAATGCATCACCCAGAAGCCATAAATAAAACACCATCAATAGCATCACAGCAATTCATCCACAGGAGCAAGAGCAAAAAATAAAAAGGCAAAAAATGGAACTAGTGATATTGGTTATTCCCATGAGCATAGAAGATTCCTTGCATGGTATCAAGTATCAGGGGGTAGCCGTGTTAATCTGTATCTACAGACTCCTTGTTGTTTTAGAAGATTCCTGTAGGTTGATTATTTTCATTATATCCACTTTGAGCAGCTTCTGATGCAATAGTCTACTCAAGGAGAAGCTCTGCGGGTCTTGCTAATAGGCAGGCAACTGGCATGCAACTGATGCGTTTCAATACAAATATTCAGGAAGCTGGCAGGTAAAGCTGTTTTCTACCACAATCAACCTCCTTTGTCTAGAAGCACAAATGAGATTTGAGAGTCAACTTGACTTATTCAGGATCTCTAGAAGGAACAAACAGTTAAGATTGATGCAATGTGCCTGTGCAGAGCAGGTAGATCTTTGATTGGCACTAAGGGATGGATAGTCCTGTGGATGGGGGTTGAAGAGACTCTAGATAACTATGAAGGAAAGGAGATCTTCCGGGGAATGAGGCCACTTGCCAGGTCACAGCGCACCCCCCAGCGCAGGGCAGATCTCTTCTTTTCTGTAGGCACCAGATAGTTGTTGGGGACATAGATGTGTTGAGACCTGGTTGGGAGGTCGGGCTTGTAGAGCATCTGTTCCCGAATGCCCCAGCGCAATTCCTTCCTGTGATCCTCCCCTGGTATCCGGAATGACTCCCAGTCCCGCTTACACTCAAAGTACCGGGCTACCCGGTCAATCTTCCCACGATTATGGCCTTGCTGCTCTAATCTTGGAGGAATGAAGGATTTTGGTTGTCCAGCCATAATCCAGTCTTGTTCGTAAACTGGAGAGCCCTGACCATGGCAATCCCTAGGAAGAAATGGGGGGTCTCCATGAGAGCCACTGCGACGAGGAAGATCCAAGTAAAACTTTCCATGGGAACTGTGGTTCGGCTCGCTTTCCACCTCTGACGCGGTGTCTTCCTGGTGGGGGTGTAGATGGAGCAGTCTCTGTCTCAGGTCTGAGATCTCAGAGTCACTTTCAGCACTGGTTTCTGGTTCACTGGTGACAGATTCATCAGACACATGTACCTCTCCATCAGGCATCCGCCTCAGAACTTTCCTTTTCATCACTGGCTTCCTGGGTCCTCTAGGTCCCTCTGAGAGGGTCTCTGGTTGCATGCTGTGTTCTGCCTGGTGGTGCCGCATCAACAAATGAAGAGATGGCCTGATCCCAGAAGTCACAGATGCTTTACTATAGGGGTCATACTGGGTTGGAGCATAGGTTCCTCTCAGGCTATCGCCATCTCCTTGCTCTGCACAAAGTTGGGTAAAGGCCATAGCAGCTGCTGCTGCCATCCGCTCTTTATGGTTCATAGTGGCCCATCTGTACCGATCTGGTCCTATCAGTGCCTCCATGATTTCACCTGGGCTGGATTGATAGTCACTTATTCTGCAAGAGTAAATTGTAATTAAGTTCTTAGTACATCTGAACTGACTGAGATACAAAAGATACTTAGCAAAAAAAAAAAAAAAAAAAAAAAGGCCACGCACACAAGGAGTCCTTGTGGCATCTTAGAGACTAACAAGTTTATTTGGGCATAAGCTTTCCCAAATAAATTTGTTAGTCTAAGGTGCCACAAGGACTCCGTGGTTGTTGGGTTTTTTTGCTGATACAGATGAACATGGCTACCACTGAAAAGATACTTAGTGAACATTAAAATCAGACTCTAGACCACTTACCAGTGACCATCTGAATGCTAAAAAGGGATTTAAACAAATGAGTAAGAGCTAGTGAAACTGAAGAGAGTAGTACAATCAGAATCCTTTATGGATACCCAAATTTACCCCTCACTTTGAATGATACTTCCCTACAGATGCTTTTATATGTCAGATGCAAATAGCTATAGCTATTTGTATAGCAAATAGCTACCCATCGTGTAGTCATGCCCTAATGTCCCTTTTGAAGCAAATATTAGAATTGTACCATAAAAGAATTTGCAGTGGTATTCAAACAGCAAAGGGGTAATTGATATGGATTAGTTATCCTAGCACAAGGGACAGTTACTAAGGTAATAGCTAAGGATGAGGCAGAATACAATTCACTCTTTGGTTTTGTCTGAACTTGGGGAGGGGGGGGGAGTATTAGTAACATTTTCTAGTGTGATTCTGCCTTGTGTGAGCAAGGACAGTTATTTAATAACTATTTACTAGCTGTGCTGACTCCAAGGGGGCACCCTAGAAATGTTTTACTAGTACAGATAATGAAAAGGCCCACCCCTGGGAGGTCATCTTGATACCAAAGTCTTACCTAAGGCAAAGCTGGAGACTGCAGTTGAATTGCATACTATGAGACTTCAGTCCATAGTAGAAGCCAAGCTGGGGAACATTTAGGCTGAGATTTACAAGTCACCTCAGGGATTTGGATACCTAATTCACATTAATTCTAAGAGCAACTGGGCACCGAATCCATTAGACAGCTTTGAAAACTTGAGCTTTAATAGTGTCAAAAGAAGCTATTTTGACGGAAAGATGACATTACAACAGATGGTTCCGTAAGACTAACAACAGACATTAACAAGTTGCCTCACATGCTGATGCTAGTAAAGCAGGGGGCTGTTGAAAATGAGGATTGTTGCTTGACAGCTCTGTACACATCCCCAAAAGACTACATAAAAGCTTGGTATAGATGTGACTGGGCCTACGCAGTAGATCTGATGTTATAACAGTAAATGGAATGAGGAACATGAGATTAGAAGCGTTGAAAGGATTAATTACACTGAATAAGGAAAAGTTGTCACAGCTAAGCCCAGCTGGCCATATGCTAGGTCAGAACATGGGAAATGTAGGGCGCTGAGGAATGTTAGAAAGCCAAAGCCAGTATGTGAAGTAAATTCTCAGATGGGTAAATGCCAGAGGCAGATTTATACTAAATATAACAGGAAGTAAAGAGACACTCAGATTTGCTTATCTCCTTACTGTCTTCTTCTGCAGACACTGAGGAGCTACCAACGCCTCCCAACTGGGATAATTCACAGGAATTCTCAGTATGGCAGAAATGGGTGTGGAGAAAGATAAAGGAGAGGGACTACTGAAGAGGGTGCAGGAACTGGAGGAAGAAGTGAAGAGACTGCAAGAGAAACTCTTGGAGGGCAAGGAGGGCACCGACATAAAAAGCAACCCTTCAGCACTGGGGAAAACTAAGAAACGCCAGCAGCGGCCATTTGATTTTAGTGCCTATGGCCGGAGACATGTGGCACTGAAGATTGCCTACCTGGGCTGGGGTTACCAGGGCTTTGCCAGCCAGGAGAACACCAGCAACACCATTGAAGAAAAACTGTTCGAGGCACTAAGCAAGACCCGGCTGGTAGACAATAGGCAGACTTCCAATTATCATCGCTGTGGACGGACAGACAAGGGGGTCAGTGCATTTGGACAGGTCAGTACCTGAGGCTGCAAGTTCTCCCAGCTCTTGCAGATATGAGAGATTCTGCCTTAATTGTGCTGTGAAATCTAGGTGGAGGGTGTACAGTCCTTTAGGATAATTCAGCAGGCTTTATGACAAAGCTCGTGTCAAGCACAGGGGATAAAATCATTGGACCAATCTAAAAAGATACTAATTTTTCGCTCTGATCTGAAAATGAACATGGTAAGGAGCATTCCTAGTATGTAAAAGGACACTGCAGAGAGAGCCCATAGTTAACTTTGTGCTCAGCAATGCATTTAGTCAACAATTCACAATGGACATGAATGATGGAAGACACTTCAGGCTTGTCTACATGGAGAAGCTATTGTGAAATAAGTGAGGGTGTGACTTTAAAGTGCAGTGCTCTTCTGTACTAACTCCCTGCATGGACACTCACTCAGCACAAAGGCACTCTTATTGTGGAGTAAGTATCCACACAAGAAGCAAGAATAGCTATTCTGCCACACAAGAATAGCTATTCTGCCACACAAGAATAGCTATTCTGCCATTATTTCCCCATGTAGACAAGCCATTAGTGTGCAACTTAGAACAATGCTAAGCAAAATGACAACTGCACCAAGTGTCCCAAACAGTCATTAACACATGTTGACTTGGTTAAATTCTTATTCCTTTAAAAAACAAAAAAACCCTTGTGAAACTAAACAGAATGGTCTCCAGTTGACTTGGGTCTTGTCTACATACTGCCTTTGTACTGGTTAACTACTATGGTTAGGAGTGTGGGGTTTTTAACTAACTAGTAAACTCAGCATAACCCCTAGTGTGGAGGCAGTTTTACCAGTATAGCTATTCCTCTAGAGAAGGTGAGTAAGCACCTTTAAACCACTATGATTACATGAACGCTGGGAGGACTGTACCACTTTAACAATATTGGTATAGTTAACAGTACAACTTGTTTAGACAAGGCTTTAGACTGTACACTTCAGTCAGAACATAACAGGATACGGTCATGTCAATGGGTTAAACGCCCACTTCTGTCAGTGGGTTGAACCCAAACCTTCTTGATAAGGGCCAAAAGCAGTTTTTGTTTGCATATAGACTAGCCACAGTCTACCAATAAGTTGATCTGATGCCAGTGCCTAGTGGACAACTGTCTGTATAAAACACCACAAATTGGCACCCTTGTTGAGGTTAAGGAGTGAGTTAGCCACGGAACTGAGCTAAGTTGCCATCTGAGTGTATGTTTCCTCCAAGTCAAGGTTGAAAGTATTCCAAGATACCTATATAGTCCATGGATTACTAGGACTTTGAGGGCTGTTAGTCTATCACCAAATAGATAACAGTGCAGCAAACTGTTAGCTCACTCCAACCACCTCCAGCAGCTGCAACTATACACTTCAGTAGGGACTACTGCTAGGTCTAGTTATTAAAGCAAACCAGAAGATCAGTGTCTCTTCCAGAGGTCTTGAATTTGTTTATTTTAAAACGGAATGTAATTGGAAGCTTGCTTTGCCTATTTTGAGGGAGTCAGAGTGTAATCACCTTTTTCCAATCCTACAGGTGATTTCCCTGGACCTTCGCTCAAACCTTTCAGAGGGAAAGAAAGTGAATGGTCATGAGGATGGCTTGGAAGACAAAACCAGTAGTCCTGCCAACGAAATCCGCTACACCCATATCCTAAATCGGGTGCTCCCTCCTGACATACGCGTGTTGGCCTGGGCCCCTGTAGAGCCCAGCTTCAGTGCTAGATTCAGCTGCCTCAAGAGGACCTATCGCTATTTTTTCCCTCGTGCAGATTTAGATGTGGCCCTCATGAATGCTGCAGCACAAAAATACGTGGGGACCCATGACTTCCGGAACTTGTGCAAGATGGATGTAGCCAATGGCGTGAGAAACTTCCAAAGGACTATTCTCACAGCACAGGTGCAGCTGGTGGATAGAAGAGGGGAAACTGGGCTACAGGACCCTTTCCAACTGTACCAGTTTGAAGTCACAGGCCAGGCATTCCTCTATCATCAAGTCCGTTGCATGATGGCAATCCTCTTGCTAATTGGACAGAGTATGGAGAATCCAGAGATTATTGATGAGCTATTGGATGTAGAGAAGAACCCTCGAAAACCACAGTACAGGCAAGAATTACCAAGACAAATGCTCAGAATTTTACCTCAAAGAATTTATGCATCTTAGTCCCTGTTTCTGAATCTAGTGCCATAAGTGCCCCTGCCACGCTTCCTATCAACATCCAAGCAGCCTGTCACTATCAAGCCTAGAGTGATATGGAAGACAGTAATTCCAGTGGCAGCCTGCTACTTAACATAGCCTCTTAATCTTCAAAACATGCCCTTGAGAAACTACTTTTCCTGTTGCCTCAGTGTTTAAGCTTTGGCTCTTCAGGCAAGGAACATGACATTCTTGATGGGTCTTATTCCTTAGGACCTAGTAAAAAGGAAAGCATTACTCATAGGTTCAAGGAGTTGCTGACTTGACAGCTCTTATACAAGATAGTGAGCTAGTCATCGTCTTTTCCACTGAAATCAGTGCCATCACATTGGATCTGCAGTCTTGTGTTCTAGGTTTTTCCCAAGTCACTGCATCATTTTGTTTTAACTTCCTGCTGACTGTGCCTGTGCACGGTTAGGTAATGTCTCCTCCTTTCCTCTCCGCAGCATGGCAGTGGAATTTCCTCTGGTTCTGTTTGACTGCGAGTTTGAAAACATCCAGTGGATCTACGACCAAGAAGTTCAGGAGTTTAATGTTACTCATCTACAGCAACTCTGGGCCAATCATGCAGTCAAAACTCACATGTTATATAACATGTTACAGGGGCTAGACTGTGCTGTCATACCCACAGGGACAGGTAGGAAAATTGTTCTGAGAGTATGCCTAACAAATCGAAGTCATGGAGGGATAAAGGCTAATTCCAGAAATGAGTAGCCTGGGTTGTTTGAGATATTCTAACATCTGACTTTTTTGTATGTTACAGGCCCAGAGAAGAACAGAATGGTCCTCTGGAGAGAGGTGAAGCCCCCAGTCCACAACCAGGTCAGCAGTTTCATCGAGGGGGTGAAGGCCCGCACTTACAAACCTTTGCTGGCTCGTCCCAAGTGCGAAGGTTTGGAGTCCCGGATCAATCACTTTGTGCGCAGGGGACGTATTGAGCTGCCACACTGCAGGGAGAAAAAGACTGGAGCAGACAAAGAGGAGCACCTAGAAACAAAGAGAGGCCACAGTGACAGTGCAGAAAAAGATAGTGAGGTTCCAGGACAAGCTGCCAAGCGGGTCTGTGTGGACACAAAGTCCAAGAGCTCTAAACGAGACCTTGCCACCTGATCGCAGAAGCAGGACCATCTTTCAGTGATGGGGTGGAAGTGGTTCCCTAGGATTTTAGGAAAGGAAACATTTGGGGGTGGGAGGAAGGGCACAGAGGAGAGGAATCCTTTTAAAGGTGCAATTCTGCACCTACTTTTTTTAAATATTAATTTCCAGGGCGCTGTCCAAAGAACTATTGTACGATAATATAGAGCAGAGGTTCTCAAACAGGTCCATGAAACATGCTGGGCATATGGTACTTGCTTTGCCTCCTTTTTACCAGCTGCTAAAGTGCATTAAAAGTAGCTAATATTACTTTTCCATGCAAGCAATTGCTGTATTTGCCACAGGAATATCATGTGATTAAATGGAAGAGGTGGTGCCCCATGTAATTGAGGACAAGTGGTTGAGACAGTATAAGTGTGATCCAGACTAGGAAAGTGAAAACCCCTACTCTAAGGGGCCACCATTATTTCCTTTCATCCCTCAATTTCTTCAGCCCTTTCATGCTGCACTTTCTGCTTAAGCACTTTGCACATGGAAGAGTTGCAGAGAGAACCAGCTAGCACCCTGGCCAGGGTCCCTTTTCAGCCAGCTCCCTGGGTAAAGTGCTGTCTCAGCAACTGCTGCCAGGCTCCTGTTTGCCACCCAGAGTGCATTCTGGTGGGTAGTACCCAAAAGTGGGAAGTATGGCAAGTGTCAGGATGCGCAAGTGCTTTGGAGCAGTGGTTCTCAAACTTGGGCCATCGCTTGTTCGGGGAAAGCCCCTGGCGGGCTGGGCTGGTTTGTTTACCTGCTGCATCCGCAGGTTCAGCTGATCGCAGCTCCCACTGGCCACGGTTCGCCGCTCCTGGCCAATGGGGGCTGCAGGAAGCGGCGCAGGACAAGGGATGTGCTGGCTGCCCTTCCCGCAGCCCCCATTGGCCTGGAGCAGCGAACCGCGGCCAGTGGGAGGCACCATCGGCCGAACCTGCAGACCCGGCAGGTAAACAAACCAGCTCGGCCCGCCAGGGGCTTTCCCTGAGCAAGCGGCAGCCCAAGTTTGAGAACCACTGCTTTGAAGGAACCCAGGAATTTTGTAGGTTCCTTCCCCTTCATTCCTGCAGGCTTTATTTAGTTGAGAAAGGTGAGATACTTAGAGGCTACTAGGGCCACAGCTCTGTGGAAGCGTAAACGCTTTGGGTAACAGTGCTATTCATGGAGATTACCTCCAGGCACTTAAGTGTCAGCATGAAACTAGGGAGCAAGGAAGTTTGAAAGAAAGTTAACTAAAAGAATCATGTCAGAAATAATCAGCTTTTTCTAGAAACAAATAGGATACGATTTGAGATGAAACACTTGTCCCAATTACAAATATTGTGTGGGTTGGACAGCAGGAGAGGCAGAGAAGGCTGGAGAAATTATTTTGGAAAGGAAGAACCCGTACTGCAGGAGAAGAATTGAAAGGCAATAGTAGAATGGTCATGTCAGGATGTGGCAATGTCTTAATTTCTGAATCAAATCATTAAACACTTTTCAGTTTTAAACTAGAGATTGACTAATTTGGCACTCAGATGAATTTTACTAGTTGTTTCAAATGCTTTATTTTTTCCGCTACGAAGGAAACAAGCACCTTCATGACACTGTAATTAAACTACGAGTTTAGATAAGATGCACTGGAAGGAAGTTGATGTGACTCTACAGAAAGTTCTGCCCACAATCCCAAAGGAGTGAGCCACACTAATAACTAGTGAAAAGTATAATACCTGGTATTGGGGAAAGGTACCTACCACAGGCCCGCAACCCTGTCTTTAAAGGAATTTAGGCATCAATCCTCTAAGCAGTCTTGCAACTGCTTCCCTTCTTACACACTCATAGAAACGAACATTGACATCAACCGGACTATGTTCATTTGAACTATGGCTTCTTCCTCAACTAGCTCAATCCTGCCCTAGGAATACCAGCATCCTAGTATAGAGAGAGACTTGATTTCTCTGTATTGGACTTCTTGTCCACTTGTGAAGCAGCCCTACCCAGGAATGTGAATATGCCTTAAAACTACTCCAGCACTATGCTGGTTTGTTGAAAAGCTATGTTTCATAACTCCTATAATTATAGGGCAACAGCCTGCTAGAGTCAATCACAGCATTTGATACCATTTTAAGGAGTGGAATGTCAGGTATACAGGAAAGTATAATTAAATATTTGAAAGTTTGAGGATGCAGCAGTGGTGGAGTCTGAAACTACATGTTCAGCAACGCAAGTCTGTCAAGGAGAACAGTGCATATTTTACCCAAAAGCCACCTTTTCAGATGGTTTACTTCAGTACTGTCAATGCATAAAGTGATCTATAAAAGACAAAACAGCTTATGCACTCCAAACTTGTGCTGGACATTTTTTGCCATAAATAAATGGGTGGAAGAAGCCACACATTTGGCTCCATCCCCACCCCTCTAAAAACTTGCCCTCGATTTATGGGGACAAGTGGCTCTAACTCTGTACAACTTCTAACTTCTGGAGCTAGTTTAATTACCATAAGTAGCAAAGACCTTTGTTTTAGGTTTCATAAGAAGGTAGTAGGACAGGCAGCACCCTGCTGGAGCTATGGTTCAGAATCATCTCCGGCCCAGTCTACACTACGATGTCAGCGGTGCCAGGGGAGTTAGAACATCTCTTGCCATGGTCCAGACTGGTGCTATACCGGAGATAGTGCAGCGAAACAGAGAGGCTCAGTCTCACATATATTAGAAGACCATCTTACATGTGAACCTCGTCAGGGGACGAGGTTCTACCCCTTTCCCTGCTGTAAAGGATTTGACAATGCAGATAAGAGCTGAGACGCTAACTGGACCAGAATCACCAACACTACGCAGGTTCCAGGCAGGAGTGACCCTTCTGAGGAAAGGTCTGGGGGGTTACAGAACTAGAGGGCGGGGGAGAGAGGTTGTACAGTGCCCAGTGCAATGACAAGTCTCTGTGAGCCGAGGCACCCAGGTGTTCTCCAGTCGATCACCAGGCCCGAGGCCCTGGGTGCGCTGTAAGGCTGCGAGAGGCACTCCAGGAGCTGAGAGCGATGACCCGGGTTTTGCACTTAGGGACAAGGTGGACCTGAGGCCGTGTTCAGTGGGGGCCACCCCGAGCACCATCGCCCAGGGCCAGCAGAGGAACAGCGCCCCCCCCGCTCGCCCCACGAGCCTTGTTCTAGCAGCCGGGGCACAGCTAAGGTGGAGTCAGGGCCGATAAGTTCCAGTCCCGCCTTGCCCAGGGCCCTGCCCGGTGACCGTAGGCGAGTCGCCGTCTCGCCAGAGCCTTACCGTCCCGGGCCCTGCACAGCGGGCGGGGCTGACAGCCGGGAGGGACCCTCCTCCCCCCCCGTACCTGTCCCGTGCCTGAGAAACTCCGGTCCCGTCCCCACGCAACGACCGTTACCGGCTCCTGCCCACTCCCAACGGCCGTCTCCGCCGCCGTTTAAATCGCGGGGCGGGACTTCCCCCGAGGCCGCAAAATCCACCGTTCTTATTGGACCGTCCTCTGTTAAAGTCCGCCTACCGCCTCCGCATGCTTCGCTTTCATTGGGCGCTTAGCCTCAAAATTCCACCCCCGGCTTTTCTCCTCCCATTGGGTGCCGTGCTGGCGGCCCCGCCTCCTCCACACTCCATCGCAATCTCATTGGGGGCTATCGGTATCACCTCGCCCTGTCGCTTCCGATTGGGTGAGGTCTCTGTAACCTCACCCGTCGACCTATCCCATTGGGCCTTCTCCCTAAAGGCTTACACCATACCCTCCTGATTCGGCGCCTTATCCGCGCGCTAGGTGCGCGGGGAGGCGGGGCATTTGGAGGCCCCGCTCGGCCCCTCCCCCTTCTGACAACTCCGGAAAGATGGCGGTGTTGGGGAGCGTCGGGCTGCGTCTCTGGGGCCCTGCGCCCGCCCTGAGGCAGAGCCTCCGGGCTTTCTCCACCACCCACGGGGCAGCCGCCGCGGTGAGCGCGGAGCAGCTGGCGGAGAAGCTGAGGGCCCAAAAGCGTGAGGAGCAGAAACAGGAGGCGAGTATTCCCGGCATGCGCTGCGGTGTACTGGGGACTACATCCCCCGGCATGCGCTGCGGTGCGCTGGGGACTACAGCCCCCGGCATGCACTGCGGAGCCTTAGGGTGCTAGGCTCTGACTACAGCTCCCGGCCGGCTGTGCAGTTATCGGGGACTACAGCTCCCGGCAGGCCCCGCGAGGCTCTTGGGCTGCCCACTGAGCGCGTTGTGCCGTTAGTCCAGAGCGATCCCCTGGTGCCGTTCGGGGCCAGTGACCGCAGGCGAGAGCAGCACGTGCATGGAGCCTCTCCTGCACTCCAAACACCTTATCCCCGGTCCCACCCCGGAGCCAGCACCCCCAGCCGGAGCCCTCACCCCCTCCTGCACCCCAACTCCCTGCCCCAGCCCGGAGCCCCCTCCCGCACCCTCCATATGTGCTGGAACTAGGGATGTGGGAGGTGCTGCAGCACCCCCTGGCTTGAAGTGGTTTCCATTATATACAGGGTTTTACAGTTTTGGTCAATGGTCTCAGCACCCCAGTATAAAAATTGTTCTAGCACCCCTGCCTGAACCCCTCATTTCTGGCCCCACCCTGGAGCCTGCACCCCCAGTTAGAGCCCTCACCCCATCCTGCACCCCAACCCCCTGCCCCAGCCCAGTGAAAGTGAGTGAGGGTGGGGGAGTGCAAGCCACCGAGGGAGGGGGAATGTAGTGAGTGGGGGTGGGGTGTCGGGGCAGAGGCGGGGCCTTGGGGAAGGGGTGGGGCTAGGGTGTTTGGTTTTGTGTGACTAGAAAGTTGGCAACCCTACCCTCGAGGGGTTAATAGTTCTGTAGCACGTTGTGCTGGAGGCTTTCAGAGCGTGCTAAAGCTAGTCATATAAAGATGTGTGGTTGTAACTCCTACCAGAGCCAGTGCGAATTGTGGGTGTTCAGCGCCTCTCAGTCAGGGTTGCCAGGTGTGTGGTTTTCAACTGAAACACTCAAAAAGGGACCCTGGCTGCTCCAGTCAGGCTGCTTAAAAGTCCGGTTGGCCGCAGTGGGGCTAAGGCAGGCTCCCAGCCTGCCTCCACGTGGCTCTCAGTAAGCGGCGGCGGTTCCTAGGCACAGGGGTGACCAGCGGGGCTCCATGCGCTGCCCCCGCCTGCAGGTGCCTCCCTGAGCGCTGGCTCCGCAGCTCCCATTGGTTGGGAAGCCACAACAGGTACAAATCTGGGGCACCGCGACCAACGGGGGCTGCGGAGCCGGCGCTCAGGGTGGCGCTTGCCGGTGGGGGTAGCATGCACAGCCCCCGGCTGCTTTTCTGCCTAGGAGCTGGACATACTGCGGCTTCCTCCATCCCTGGGAAATGCCCGGGCAGTGCTGGTGTGGCTACTAAGGGGCCACCTGAGGTCAGCTCCTCCTAGACTCCCATGAACCACACCAGCCAGAGCCTGCACCCCGAATCCCCTCCTGCACCCAAACTCCCTTCCGGAACCTGCACCTCAACCCCTTCGGCCCCAACCCCCTCCTGCACCCCAAACCCCTCATGCCCGGCCCCACCCCAAAGTCTGCACCCCTAGTCCGCACGCCTACCCCGTACCCCCTCCCACAGCCCTGCCCCAGCCCAGAGCCCCCTCCCACACTCTGAACCCCTCATTTCTGGCCCCACCTCAGAGCCTGAACCCCAGCTCAGAGCCTGTACCCCCTACCGTACCCCAACCCTCTGCCCCCCAGCCTGCACCCTGCTCTCGCACCCCTAACTCTCTCACATACCCCCAGCCCCAAGCACCATCCTGCTCTTCCTAACAGCCGCCCCAGCTAGGTGGCCCTGCTCACCACAAGTGGCTGGTGGCTGCTTGGGGAGAAGGGATGAGGTGTAGATGCTCTAAATTTGCAGCTCCTTTCCCCAGTAGTTCCTACCCGGGAGCCTCCACTTCAGCCCATCTGAGCTGTCTGGGGTATGTCTACACTGCAGTTAAACAACCTGATGGCCTGGCTCAGCGGACTGGGGTCAGAACATTAGTGTGTAGACATTTGGGCTCTCTGAGTCCCTCCCCCCTTGGGGGTCTCAGAGCTTGGGGTTCAGCTAGCCCAAACACAGCCCCACAGCAAGCTCCAAGCAGTGGACAGGGGGCAACCAGCTTTAATTGCTGTGTGGACACACCCACCCACACCCCCTCCCAGCAAGTGGGACACAGCAGCTGCTAGCCTGGGTGGCTGTGCAGGCCAGTCCCTCCTTGCAGGAGGTGCATGTAGATTAGTGTGGTTTGGGGCGTGTCTCTGTCAGTGCATCCAGGGGCAGTGCACTGGGTCTGGTTCGGCTTCCGCCACTGGGGTGGCCACTGCAACCACCCAGTCAGCGGGGCACATCAGGAGCCACACCAGCAGCCAGACATCGCTGTGTGCAAAGCCTGACTGGTGGGTGCCCGCCAGAGACTGCAAAAAAGTAAGTGGGACATGTGGTCTGATGGTGCTGGCAGCACAAAAGGGGCCGGGCAACAGGGAATGCAGAGCTTCACTAGGATGTTCCTGAAACAGAAGAGTTAGTCCCTCGCTATGGTAATCTCCCTCACGCCCATATACAGACCCTCTATGTTTCAAATAAAGGACAACTTGGAAATTATGAGAGTTAATATATAAATAACACATTGTATTACAGTGTACAATCTTTTGCATGATTAGTGGTGTATACAAGACAATGTTTATTAATTTGAGGTGTAATGTGGAACATCGGGCACCAAACGAAGGACAGGTGGTCACGCTGTGTGTGACTTTCTAACATTACCTCTCAACCTGCTTTGGGACAAATCTGGGACACAGTACAGGTGAAAAAACTTGAAACGAAGAACACTAGAAAACCTGTTGGTTAGCAGGATGGTAAAATAGGGAGGGGTCAGTTTCTGCAGCATGAATTACATTTTATGCAATCTCACCTTAACTTTAAAGAGCTATAATGAATTATTGATGCAATATTAAGGTTATATATTTAAATGTAAGTGTCAGGAAATGTTAACATCAATTTGTCCACATTGCATATATTGTCTGTTAAAGCATACGTTTAAACAATTTAACTAATCATTAAACATGGAACAGCATAACTTTTCCCCTCTGCTAGACAGTTCATTGTCAGGTAGGGAAAGAGTCAGTCAGTGGCTGCAGCACTACTGGATCCCCTACCAGGACAGTTGGGTGAAGGCAAGAAAAATCAAGCTCCTGCAATAGTCTGTTTAGTCTTGCTTATTGTGAGTGAGGGGGGCACTTTTTTTTGGGGGGGGGGGGGCAATTAATTTTACAGTAGTGTTTAAAATACCCCCCCTGGAGAGGTGAAGGGTATTTGAATCACACGTTCCATCTCCCACATTCAAAGTGTTGCAGCTCCTGGCCTTCTCTTGATGCCTGCTTGGGCCTTGCAGTGAAAATGAGCGAGGGTGGAGGAGAGCAAGTGATGGAGGGAGTGGGCGGGTCCGCGGGGCAAGGGCGTTCGGTTTTCTGCGATTAGCAAGTTGGCAACCCTACTCTCAGGGTCAGACCCTGTTCTCTTTGCTGCCTTTACCAGGTGCTCGTAAATAGGCATCAAATGGCCCAGCAGTAAACATTACAATCAAATGAAGAAACTACCCAAGTAGTGTGCAACCACCCTGATGCCAAGTCCACATCCCGTCCCTCAGACTGAACCAGGCAAGAGAGATCTAGTAAAGACAGAACAGGGATATAAAGGGAGAGTAACAACAAAACGGAAGGGGAGGGAAACCCCATATTAGCAGAGGATAAGCTTGCCAGCAGGGCAGTACATATTAAGTAAGTATTTATTGTATGTTTAGCCGTTTTTTTTTTTTTTTTTAATATGATTTAGTAGTTTGGAAATTGAGAGCCAACATATGAGCAGCCGGTGCTCCAAGCACCAACAGCTTGCAAACCTTTGTGTTAAAAGAAAATGCTTCTTAATTATTATTTGTATTTAACATGCAAGCATAATGCTGCCATCTTGAATCTGGTGCAATGTGACACAAGAAATGCCAGTTCCCTTTGAATGCACAGGGAACTGGAGAGCTTCAAAAGCTGTTTTCCTTGCCTGCACACTCAGGGCTTGTCTACATGTACAGCGCTGCAGTGGGGCTTCTCCCGTTGGCGTAGTTAATCCACCTCTGTGAGAGACGGTAGCTCTGTTGACAAAAGAAGCTCTCCCATCGCCACAGCACTGTCTGCACCTGGGCTAGGTTGGTTTAACTACATCGCCTAAGGAGTGTGGATTTTTCACACCCTGAGCAACGTAATTATACGGATGTAAGTTTGTAGTGTTGACCTGGCTTCAGTCAGACAGGCATTGTGTAGTCTAGACAGTTAGGTTTGGGGTTACAGGATGTTAGTTGACATGTTCTAACTAAAACATTCTAAAACTCTAGTGTAGACAAGGCAGTGTAGACTTTAAGGTGCACTAAATGGGTCAA